CTTTCCGAGCTCAATTGCTTGACGCATGGTCGATTTCAAAATAACGGCCCAATTCTAAGGTGGTTACAGCGGCCTTTTATTTGAAGAGGTCTTTTGATCGAAGCAGTCTTTTATTTCTAGAACATTGTCGAAAATTCGATGGGGGCTTGTAATAGTAGAAGGTCTTCTATTCGTAAAAATCCGTTAGTATTAGCGTCAATATTATTGAATGTACTGGAAAAATATTAGAGCAAACTAAAAGTGAGAGGCTTTGGGTGTCATGCCTTGCAAAGCGCACGAGCCTAACCTCTGTGCTTTATTAACGCAAACGCTCAAAGAGTCAAAGATCTCTTTGTGAAAGTTAAGGACAAGTTCGTTACAGATGACAAAACATGTAGTCAATCTCATGACCAAGTCGTGGAACGACAAATCATCCGCGAAGATGGAAAATGCAATATTCAGGTCCCTTATATCAGCACAAATAGAACAGCTTAACAAACTTTAGTCTATCTTTGGTCCCGTTGGGATCAGAGAATTGGTGGCGAAAGGTCGGAAGTACTAGTCGCTCGCCTAGAAGATCTCATCAACTCTGAAAATACGCTGGTTAGAAGCGTCTAAACCTAGCGTCAGTGGCGAACAGATTAAGCGCAAATGCACTTACCCTTCTATGAAGGGTGTGGGTCGCACAAGATGGTGTAATAAAATAGTGTGGTTTACAAAAACGGTGTCATCACAAAATAGTGTGGCTACACCCTAACAAGAAGTCAGTACGTGGCTGGAACAGCCTGTAGTCATACATTGAATTAGGTTTTTCTGATAGATGGGAAAACTTATAGATTTAGATATAGGCGACTTTGCCGCAAAAAAAGAAAGAGGTACAGTTTACACCGTAAACGAACACATTTATTTGCCTTGGGTCAAGGTTGCCATTACTCTTGGAGTAAGCGGATAGCGATTCGCTACACTCGTACTGGTTCTAAGTACAGAACGAAGGTCGCCGACCTTAATTAAGCTTCCTCTTAGCGAAAGAGACACGGCAGCCCCGCTGCGCTTGGTTGCACTTTTAATCAATCTTCACCTGAGACATTACGACTGGCCCTATATAAGGATGGTGCAGTCCTTTCATTTGCCCCAGGTCATGCAAGACGGGTTTAAATAGCTGATGTTTCTACTTGGCTCTGAGGGCGGTCAACACCTCGCTTCGCAAGGACCTGAAGTGATCAGCGCACGCCGAGTAATGTTTTCAAGCTATGAAATGCTCTGCTAGAGATTGCGCATAAATGATACACCACTAACCTCAGTCAGTACCCCCAGTGGTATGCTGTGGAAATGGTTAGTGATGTCACAAGGCTTTAAGAACGCTTCCGCGACTTTCAAACAGAATGGTCACAAACCTTTTTCGTCCATT